TTTGCCTGTAGAGGCCATGGCTAGTATTAGGTCTTTAAATACGAAATGTCTAATTTTGAATCAAAAGTGTAGTTTATTATATCTCAAACAAGAAGCAGTACAATTAATCAAAGTATGCACCTAAACTGTGGACACAGTTTTACCATCTTAATCATAGCTTATTTATGCCAGCAGTGAGGAAGCCTAGAGAACAGGTGACAATGAAATCACGAAAGGCATTTTCCACAGCTTGTTGAGAATTGAATATTTTTCATTGCAAGAAGTGGTCCAAAGACTGGAAGAAGTGGTAATCAGTTGGTGCAAGGTCTGGTGAATACAGTAGATGACAGAGTTTCCAAGTCCAGCTTCTGCAGTTTGAGCAGCAGCATTTGTGCAGTATGTGGTTGAACATTGTCTTGAAAGAGGAATGGCCTGTCTCTGTTGACCAGTCTTGGCTGCTTCATCGCAAGCATCCTCATCATTTCATCCAGTTCGTTGCAGTAGACATCCACTGTAATCGATTGACCAGGTTTCATGAAGCTGTAGTGGATAATACCGGCACTGGACCACCAAACAGACACCATTAGCTTTTTTGGATTAATATTTGGTTTTAGAGTGTGTTTTGGCACTTCATCTTTGTACAGCCATTGTGCTGAATGCTTGCAATTATCAAAAAAAAATCCATTTTCATCACATGTAACAATACAGTGTAGAAATGGTTCACATTTATGTCATGACAGCAAAGAAAGGCAAGCTTTGAGACGATTTTTATTCTGACGCTCATTTAATTCATGCGGAACCCATCTATCCAGCTTCTTTACCTTGCTCATTTGTTTCTAATGGTCCAGTATTGTTGGAATAGTAACGTCAAACTTTGCTGCTGATTCACACATAGATTGAGATAGATTTGCTTCCACAACAGCTTTCAGCACATCATTATGATGGTCTCAGGTCACCCACATAACGCATTTTCAAGATTAAATCACCAGAACGGAACTTCTCAAACCATTGATATACTGTGCATTCATTAGCCATATCTTTGCCAAATGCTTCATTGATATTTAGAGCTATCTATGCAGCATTGGTTCCGTGACAGAACTCACATTTGAAAATAACATGAATTTTTGACTTATCCATGGTTTCACAAAAATTGCTGTAAAAAAATTTAAAAGATAATCACAAGCCAAAACTTGCATTTGAAAGGACTGAGGATGTACCCTCACAATCAAAATAAAACGAGAAGTGTCAAAGTGAAATGTCAGAGATGTCAACTGTCAAACTTAGTACTTAAGGAAATCAGACACTTCATACTTAATAACCTAATACCTTCGCTTTTAAATACTTTTGACAAGTGTTATTCACCTAGGAAACTGTTTAAGGCCTGGGGGAACTCGGGCAGGCAAAACAAAGGAAAGCCCTTGAGCTGATCTCAGGGAGCTATCTACCCCACAGATCAAAAGACATAACCACAATCCTTTGAGAATAAGGTTCATATTGCTCCCCCTGTTGCCAGAAACTTGCACCAGAAATGCAGGTTTGGGGAGTGGGGCATGGTAAGTGGGTAAGTTAAAATACCACAGTGCTCTCTTATTTAAATCCAGCAGCTTCTTCATTAAGCATTCCCCCAGTTGTTGTAAGTTTTTGATTAGTTTTTAGAGTTATAAAAGAGTTCTTTCTGACAGTTTTTGCTATGTTATTATTTTGTGGAGGGGATTGCATTTTGGAGTTCCCTATTTGCCGTTTTCAGTGACATCACCGTTGTATTTTGGGGAGAAAGTGATTATTGTTCTTCCCCCTTACTTTAAAAATTTGTTTATATGTTTCCCATAGTACCTCTTACTCCTCGGTTTCTTTTTTGTTTCTTTTGTCTTTTCCTTACGATCATTGGCTGTTTATTCACATTGTAAGAGTTGGCACTGAAAAGCTACCTAGATACTTTATGTACATAAGTGTGTGCATTAATTGATTTACAGGCCCCATTCATAGGTGGGGACCTTTCAAAGAAGAATCCTCAAAAGCCAGCATATATTGGTTTTCCTTTGGATTTTCAAGAAAGGTTGTAACCCTGGCTGTCTGTGGTTCGGTATTATTTTGAACTATGGAAAGAGAAGCTAGGATTCTCATGGTTCACTGTACACTGTACAGACTTTCATTTGATCTCTTTGTTTTCAGTGCAGCAGCCTTACCACCAGCTGTCTTAGGTCCTAGAGCCTCTTTGGTTCACCCTCTGTAGAAATGCAAAGGACTTGGCTGGACATGGTGGCTCATGCCTGTAACCCAGCACTTCGGGAGACTAAAGCAGGAGTATCGCTTGAGCTCAGGAGTTTGAGGTTACAGTGAACTATGATCTCCACTGCACTCCAGCCTGGGTGAACACAGCAAGACCCTGTCTCTTAAAAAAAAAGAAAAGAAATGCCATTGACTTTCCACCAAGCATCCTGTTTTCAACCCCACTCTAATACCTCTGACTTTCAAAGTCTTTATGTGTATCAGCTAAGCTAATTCTGACTTTACAGGTAATGGTAGTTCGAATTCCTGGGCCTAAAGTATAAATTAACTATAAATTACTGTTTCATTTTTTTCTGCTTTACCAAATCAGTTACCAGCCATCCACCTACATTTCAGATTTTGAAATGTTAATATCTCTTTAGTGCTGTTAACCCTCCCCTATACCACTTGTATCCTTTATTCACATTTAGAAGGTTTTAGAAGAGAGAGAGCTCAACACATTATTCATTCTCCCCTATTTAAGAAGGACTTTCTAAACTTAAATACAATGTAAAGCATAACAACAGAGAAAGATTAATTTGACCACTGAAAACTGTGAAATTTATGCATAGCAGAAAACATAAAATTAAAAAGCATATAGCAGACTGGGATATATGTAACAAATATGACACAGGCTAATGCCCCTTATAAATTTGAATACAAATACATAAGAAAAGCGTTATCCCCCAAAAGATAAAGTAGGCCAAATACATGAAGAGGTATTTTCATAAGAACACACAAATCTCTAATTTTCAGTATTATTAATAGTCAAAAATGTAAAGGAAATTGTCATTTTTAAACTCAAGACAAAAATGTGTTTTTATGTGTGTATAGTGTACACACACAGATGAAAATATGAAGAGAGGGGCATTTTCCTATTGTACAAATGGCAGTTTATAGAGGAAAACAAGTCAGCAGTATGTTTAACTATCTTTTGATTTAGGAATTCTTTCTTAGAAAGAATTTCTCCTAAAGAAATAATTCATACTATGGGCCAAAATATGCAAAAAAGATGCCCATCTTATTTTGAATATTGCTAGCTAATTAGAATAACTGACAATTATTGAGCCTTTACTGTGTGCTTCAGGAACTATGCTAAAGGCATTTTACATACGTTATCCCATGTAATCCTCACAACAACCATATGAGATAAACACTGTATTTATTTTCTTTGAAAATACTGAGGCTAGATAGTGACTGCTAAACCAGATCTGGAGCCCAGGTCTAATAAAAAATTATTCACTTAATCATCATGCTCGTAGAATTTTCTGTGAATGTATGTTACTTCTCTAAAGATGGGGAAAAAAATAAACATTGTGTTCAGTGTTTAAATAATCTAAGTATCCAGCTATAGTTAAGTAGGTAATTTAGCAGATCATCATACTTTTATGTGATGTAATGTATAGCCATTAGGGGGATGGTGGGGTAAACCCACAACGAAAGGACACAGGGAGCATTGTAGAGGGGAAGGGCATGCCTCTAACCCTTGCTTGGGTGAGGCAAAGACATAAAATGTAACCATAATGTTTGTACCCTCATAATACCCTGAAATTAAAAAAAAAAAAATCATGTTCTAGAAACATTTAACGACATAAGAAAATTAGACAAATGAGAGAAAACCTTAAATATAGTATTTTTAAAATTATTTTTCTAAGGCCGGGTGCGGTGGCTCACGCCTGTAATCCTAGCACTCTGGGAGACCGAGGCGGGCGGATTGTTTGAGCTCAGGAGTTCGAGACCAGCCTGAGCAAGAGCGAGACC